TAAGACCACTCTGGAAATCAGTATGGTGATTGCTCAGAAAAATGGGAATCAGTCTACCTCAAGATCTAGCCATTCCTCTCTTGAGTATATACCCAAATAGTGCACGTTCATACAACAAGAACATATGTTCAACCATGTTCATAGCAGCATTGTTTGTAATAGCCAGAACCTGGAAGCAACCTAGATGCCCCTCAACTGAAGAATGGATAGAGAAAATGTCCTGACTCCCTCTTAATCTCTATGGTTATTTCCTCTCAACTGGTTGCTTGCTCTGCCTCTCAATCTAAAGTTGATTTTATTTCATCCTTTTTACAATATTCAAGCAGAAAGCTCTTAGATTAAAGGTATGTGCTAGGGTTGAGCCACACCACAGCTAGAAGCAGGGTTTTCCAGTAAATAATGCAACTTTAGGATCTAAAGTGTGACCAAATACCCTGAGACGGGATGAGGCAACCCAATGGGAGGAAAAGAGTCCCAAAGACAGGCAACAGAGTCAGAGACATCCCCCACTCCCACTGTTAGGAGTTCCACAAGAAAACCAAGCCACAACTGTAACATATGTGCAGAGGGCGTAGGCCAGTCCCATGTAGGCTTCCTGATTGTTGGTTCAGTCTCTGTGAGACCCTATGCACTCAGGTTGGTTGATTCTCTGAGTTTTCTTGTGATGTCCTTGACCCCTCTGGCTCTAACAATCCTCCCTGCCCCCTTCCACAGGATTCCTTGAGCTCTACCTAATGTTTGGCTGTGGGCCTGCATCTGCTCCCTTAAGTTCCTGGATGGAGCCTCTCTGGTGGCAACTCCTATCTATGAGTATAGCAGAGTATCACTAGGAATCATTTCATTGACCTTTTTTTTCTGGTCAGCATACATTTATTTGAACTCTGACTTCTAAACATAATTTCACAAAAGCAGTAAACAACTATAATTGAAGATTTTGCAACTATGGAGAGATGGTTAAGAGCATGTACTGCTCTTGCTGAGGACCCGTTTGGCTCCCAGCACCCATACTTAATGGCTCACAACTGCCTGTAATGCCACTTCCAAGGGATCCAATTCATGGGAATGGACACACACACACACCTTTTAAAAACTTACAGAAGTCAGCATGGAAAAGGATGTGTGCCTCTGAGCAAAGCTGTATGGATACTTGCACACATCCTTCCTGCTCAGTCTCCTCACAGCAGGGAGAAGGGAAAGAATAAGACACACTTTTATATCATTCCTATTAAGATGCTTAAAAAAGTATAAATCCAATAACTATTCAAATTCATATCTGAGCTAAAACAAAACTGCAAAATGAATTGCTTTAATTCTAAAATCAAGCTTTAATCTATTGAACTATTGGGGTCTTGCCCCAGCCGGGTTCAGGTCCTGAGATGGGGAAGGGGCATCTGTGCAAAGAAAAGTGTAAGCACCAGATGAGTTTCACACAAGTAGCCGCCCCAAAGAGCTCCAGCCATCTTGATGTATACTTAAAACAAGCATGTCTTTCCCAACTTTTAAATCAAAACAACTTTTACACAAAAAAAAAAATGACACGCAGTATTTTGCTAGCTTAGCCAAATATCCAGCCAGGCACACCCTGTCCTTCCAAAGCAGAAAGTTGATAGACATAGGCATACATTCTTAAGAACAACAGTATCATTCAAAACTTAAAGCATGTTTACAGAAATAGGGGTGAATTGCCATAAGCTTCTTGCATACAGTTAAATTGTATTTCTCTAACTATTCCCTTGTCCTACAAAAGTGTCCTACATGCCTCAAGCCTCTTTATAAAGGGTGAAGTTTGATAAGATATTCTTTTTCCATCATGCCCCACCATTCTTAATGTTTCTTCCCAGAATGTCCTCTGTGCTGCTTCCTTATATGTGCCCATTAACTTTCATTGCCTCTGAGCATGTCAGCATTGAACCAGAGAGGCCTCCAGGGTCTGAGACACCTCCAGACAGCTGGTGTTTCCAGATAAAAAAAACCTGAGAAGCATCAGTTCCCAGAGAATTTTTAGGGGAAAATATTTGAGAAAAGAAATGGTCTTTCTCAGCCGGGCAGTTGGTGGTGCATGCCTTTAATCCCAGCACTCAGGAGGCAGAGGCAGGTGGATCCCTGTGAGTTCGAGGCCAGCCTGGTCTACAGAACGAGTGACAGGATAGGCTCCAAAGCTACACAGAGAAACTGTGTCTCAAAAAACCAAAAGAAGAGGAAGAGGAAGAGGAAGAAGGAGGAGGAGAAGGAGGAGGAGGAGGAGGAGGAGGAGGAGGAAAGAAAGAAAGAAAGAAAGAAAGAAAGAAAGAAAGAAAGAAAGAAAGAAAGAAAGAAAGAAAGAAAGGGAAGTAAGAAATGGTCTTTCTGGGAATGGTTACATCTGTCTCAAGTGTGACTGACAAATGAAACCAAAACCCTCAAGAGAATCATCAACATTATGAGAGAGAACAGAGAGCTTGCAGGTCATGTGGTCCCCGCAGGAGTTTGTGCTGTCCTGAGGTACACTGGTCCTTGCTGAGTGAGAGACTGTCTCCACCGGCTTTTTCCTGAAGAGACCCATTGGACAAACATTCATATGCTGATCTGAAACTAAGCCATGCAACTCCCTACACAAAACCTCATGTCATAGTTTATGGCAGTAATCTCAGGACTCATGAGGCAGTCTGGGTCACACAGAGACTTAGAATGTGCCCTATCAAAGGATGAGAGTCAGATGTGTGAAGGGCACCATATTATAAGAACAAAGCATAATAAAATGGATGTATGAAGGTGCCATAATGAATGCCATTTTTAATAATGATTGTGTCTGTGTAGGTTTGTGCATATGAATTCAAGTGCCTGTGGAGGCCAGAGGAGGGTGTTGGATTCCCTGGACTTGGAGTTCCAGGTGGCTGCCTGGGGTTGTCCTGGGACCTGAAACTCAAGTTCAACAGACACTTTCTTAAGAAGTAGCTAATTAGAACTCTGGTCTAGATAATTTTTATTAGTTTTCTTGAGAAAACCATACCAAGTATTTCCATCATGTTCACCTCTTCTCCTCTCCAACTTTTCCTTTACCCATCCCCACTCTCTTACCCACACAACTCTGAGTCCTTTTTAAAAGCCCATCAAGACCAATTTGTGGTGCTCAAGATCCTTAATATCTGGTCTTCCACTGGAGTATGGTTGACTTACTAGTGGCTATACTCTTAAGAGAAAGCTGTCTCCCTGTACCCCAGCAGCTTACAATTAGCAATAGCTCCGTGTCTGTGGATAGGACTGTGTGCTCAACTCCCATTTACATACTGGGATTTGGTCTGGGTTGGGCTTGCACAGATTTTGTGCATGCTATTGAAACTACTCAGTGTTTCTATGTGGAGCTGCTTTGCTGTGTGCAGAAGGCACTGTTTCCTATAGTCACTCTCCAGCACTTCTGCAATTATCCCTGAGTCTTCAGAGCCCATTGCTTAAAAAGTTCCTTCTTTTAAAGTTGTGATGAACCTGTTTTGAAAGAGACATTCTACATGTGCTGCCTACATGATGCATTCAACCCATCCAGTTATTAAAATTTCAAGATGAATGCTGAAACTTGAACCCAAAATAATGTTCAAAAAGTGTTATCTGAATATATTTAGCTCTGGTAAATTGTGTCATTTAAAATGGTCAAAATAGCAAATTTTATGTCAGTTGTTTTATCATAATAAAATATTAGGAAAACATGTCAAAAGTTTGTTCTTCTTTCAGGTCCGCACAGCATGTTCCTGCGCCCTTGGCTACCTGACTTACAATGCATACGCTTTTCGGATCCTGCTATCGGAGTGCAGGAACAAACCTAATCAATTCCTGCGTATAACAAACAACATCAGCAGAGATGCCAAGATTAACCCCGCCTTCCTAAAGGAGTTCCAAATGCAGCAACATGTGGGACTTCCATCCTTAAGGTATTGTGCCTTTATAAGAAATGGCAGTAGTGAGGTTATTAGTACATGTAAAATGCCCCTTGACTTGCCTCTGTATGTTGGTATAAACTTAACCTTGAATGTTTGTTGACAAAGCCTGTTTTTATTGACTTTTGAATGCCAAGTGTCTTCTGTTTTGGGTTTATCTTTGCATCAAAATACATAGCAGCAGGTTTTTGTTTAAAGCTTGGTGTTAAGTGCAAAGTATCTTTCCCCACTGTAAGTGCATTATTCCACCAAGGAAAAAAACAGTAAAATTTACTTCATTTCTTCCTGGAAACAGCTGGAGCTATGTAAAAGTTGGTTGATTTATTCTTCTGTGTGTAAGCCCATCTAGGACCAGGAAAGATCTGATTTGCTATAATTGTTTCTGAAATAGGAGGTCCTGTTTCAAAGTTAGCTTGAAAACGAGGAAGGAGTAGGTTCCTTCAGAAAAACAATCCCAGAATTCCTGATAACTGTCAGTCTGAGTTTGGTTTTGTGTTTTGTTTCGTTTGCTTGTTTGTTTGTTTTTCTTGTTTTTCAAAGTAGTTCAGATAGAGGTAAAGTCTCAGTTGAGTTTCAGAGCCCTGTGCCCTCCTGGGAGACTCACTAGTGAGCAGCTGTTGGGCACACTGCTATGGAGTCAAAATGGAAGGTGTTGCCTAGTGCCTGGGAGAGTGAGCTGTGAAGCTGAGTTGGTCCTGAATTCCAGAAACAGAAAAAAGAAAAGAAAAAGAAAACAGAAAAAAAAAACAGACTCTCCCTGTAAATTTATCAAAATAAATAAATAAATGAACTACTGGTTAGGCTTGGTGGAACTTACTTACAATTATGGCGCTGAGGAGGAAACAAGGCAGCCCCCAGAGACAGCTGACCAGTCAGTTCTACTGACCAGGCCAGTGAGACACAAACACTCTGTCACATGCACATATACACACTTACATACAACTCTTATACTCATACACTGTCTCTCTCTCACACACTCGCTCTCTCTCATACACATATACACTCTCACACACATACACACACACAACTGTCATGCAGTCTCACACACATACTCTCTCTCTCTCTCTCTCTCTCTCACACACACACACACACACACACTCACACCACTTAGGAAGTTCCTCCTTCCTCTGTCAGGTGGAGGAGTTCAGAAGGACTCATGAGCATAGCAAAAATTACTGAGGTCAGAGACCCTAGAGAAATGGGCCACAGTTGATGCTACCACTCAGATGTGGAAAACGTGATGACACTGGACCCATATTTTCTTGAAAAGAAGTGCTTAGAAATCCAAGCAGCATATAGGCAGAGTCCTGGTACAGGAGCCATGAGAAGCAGCAGCCTGGTCTGCTGTGCAGTTCAACAAAGCCCCCAGCAACAGTGAAGCACAGGTGTGTACATCACTCTCAAGCCTAATCCTAGCAACACCCCCGTTCCTGAAGGCCAATTCTAAAGAGTGGCAAACCAGTCCTGTTGATGCACAGTGAAGGAAGAAATGCTCAGGAAGCAGATGATGGAGAGGTGGATGAACAGAGGCCGTCTGGAACTTCAGGAGCAATGGCTTTCCGTTAGCCTTCTGTGGCGATGAAGCACCCATAGTCAGTAGATCCAGATCTAGTTTGGAAGTATGGGGCTTTCTGTGAATGTTGAGCCTACAGAAATGAGAAGCAGCGACAGAACACTGCACTCACAAAGAACATTCCCTAAACTACCTTCTTGTGTATAGGGGTCATGAAATACATATTTGTTCTGGAATAGTCAAAATTCCCCAAAATATACACCAAGTAGATGTACAAAAATTGCCAGTCTGTGTGGATGAATGTGCTTTAAACTCAAGCATGAAAAGAGGCATAGGTGGCCCAGAGCCATGCAGTAGGTAGTCACTGTCCTTCCACTCACCAGGAACCAGCATATCTTTTCAGCTGCCTTTCCAACGTCTCTCCCAGAACTAATGCATGTCATGATGGGCCCCAGAGAAAATGCCAGTACCATGCCTCCTCCTCTTCCTGGAAGGATGGACACATTGATTGTATTTATGGTTACCCACTTATTTTTGTCTCCCAGCAGAGATTCTAATATAGCCAGACTTACTGTTTTCTCTATTAGTGTCAGGGTCCCATTGCCCTTTTGTCACCACTGATTTTTATTGAGAGGACACTTCAATACTCTGCACCTTCAGCTGAGAGAAAAATTGGGATCAGAGGGCTACTAATAATAGCAGACACGCCAAAATTTGTCAACATACTCTCTAACCTAATCAAGGTGAGGACACATAGCCCCTCCCAAGTCAGTCATCCTTCCCGATCACAGGGCACCACCCTCTCTCTGTTTGCTTTGGATATAATGCTTTGCTACGTTGTCCAGCTCCAACCTTGCCCCCCTTCCTCTGCCTCTTCAGTAGCTGGGACTAGAAATGCATAATTATTTGTCCAATTCAAAACTTGTTTTAATCCCAATTTAGTTACAGAACTGTGGTTGTGGACAGAACAACCACATTTTAGGGATCCTGGGTAGACAAGCTTACTTCAATTTTTGAAGTTTGCAGTGGGGGTGGGGACTGATAAATTCTATGCATGACTCAGGAATCTCTTCTTTATTATATTTGAAGAGATCTGAACTAATTAGGAAAGCCCAAACAATCTTCACTGCCAATGGAATTCCTACACTTTTGACCCAAGGCTAAGCAAGCTTCTTGGAAGGAAACAAGTCTAAAATGATACTGTGGCTGAAGTTTTTAGTGTCTGTCGAGCATTTTGCTCAGATGATCTTGTCTCAGTGTTATAGTTTCATTATAACCTAAGACTTTAACATAGGGAGTGAAAAGTCTTACTGTGGACTATATTCTCTGCTTCCATACAAAAAGATGAATCATGAATCTTTCCAAGCAGGAAAACACTCATGTAAGAGCTTCAAAAGATATATTATTATTCTGATACAAGATGGGAATAAGACCCAAAAGTATACTATGGTTATATGAATCAATTTTAAGCATAGAAAAACATAAGTCTGTTTCAAGAATCCTTTGAAAACTAAAAACCCAAAATAAATTGTGTAACTATAAAACACAATCTGAACTTTAATTCTAATAATTTATTAAATTCATTTCATTGTTTCATACCTTTAATTTAGTACAAATGATTTGTGCTTTGTACATTACCAGCACTCAGTGGGAAATGGAAAGTGTGCTCCTATTCAATTTTGTTTCCTTCAAAGTCCAGTTTGAGTCCCTTATTTCCATTAGTTGAAACATAATTAATATTCCATTTTAGGTGTACTTAATGTTGGAAATGAGTAAACAAGTGATCAAATGTAAGGTAGCATGCAGGTAATTTTATACACGTATGACAGAGACCATTAGGTCTCTGAACATGGTACCTAGAATCTTTTTTTATTCATGGTTTTCTGAGTATACTGTGTTGTAACAATAAGTCTTTCCGCCAAGCTGCCTGAGCCCTGCTGCCACGTGGCCACCCACGTTTTGCCCAACGCCACATTATGGTCCCAAGTAAAACACAGAGACTTCTATTAGGTACAAATGCTGCTTGGCCAATGACTAGGATTTCTCATCTGCTAGCTCAGTCTTAATTATCATAAATCTATATATTTTATAAGACTTATTGGATGCCAGGGGAAGCATCCTATCTTCCCGGGCTCACATGGTGACTCTGTGCTTTCTCCTACCTTTCCCAGAATCCTCCTTGACTTCTAGTCACACCTATCTTGTTTTCCTATTGGCCTACAGTACTTTATCAACAAATTAGACAATCATATACCCAGAAGGACCTCCCCCATCATCTCTTCTTTTCTGTCTAAATAAAAAGAAGGGTAACTTATATTTTATAATAACTGAAGAAAACTATAACCATAACTATTTGTCTTCAACTCCATCAAAGACAATAGAAGGATAATATATAAGCTCTAGAACTGACAGAGACATCTTGTTGCCTGGACAGTCACCCCTCTGTTGCTCTGTAACGTTGGGACATCCATGTTCAGCCTGTAGGCCTCAGTGTGTCTGGCACACTTCTCCATTTCAGAAGAAACCCTTCAGTACTGTCTTGCTTTGTAAGAAAGGACCTCCCCCTTCACTGTGTCTTCATTTAATATTTGATTTTTTTCCCTTTTAGCCTGGAAAAGAATGGAGGACCATCTGTAATTCCTGTCTTTAAAAAAGGTAATAATTTTTCTTTTATTTCTTTAATGCCTGCTAGTCCTAGCAGTCTGTAATTCTGCCTTAGGCTTTCTTTTGCTGTGATAAAGCAAACACCATGACCAAAGGCAACTTAGAATGAAAGGATGTATTTCATCTTACATCTTGCAGCCAGTCATCCAGGGAAATCAGCGCAGCAACTCAAGGCAGGAACTGATGCAGAGGCCATAGATAAAAGCCAATTTCTGGCTTATTCAAGTTTCCTTTTTTACATACCTCAGGACCACCTAGCCAGGGCGAGGCAGCATCAGCCACATTGGGCAGAACCCTCCCACATAAATGAAGAAAATACCCACAGGTTTGCCTACAGTCCAGTGTTATAGAAGCATTTTCTCAGTTATGTCTAGGTTTGCATCAAGATAACATACCAACCAACACATCCAATCTTTAAAAATTCAACATGTGGAGACAACCCTCCAGAAAGCATCTGATTTATAATTCAACACACAGAAGACGCCTTCCCCTTATAAGCCTGTATTAATCATTTAAGGTCTTCCCTACTATCATGTACCAAAGATTTCTCTGGCAGGATGGAGCAGTGGGTAAGAACACTTGCCAACAAGCCTAATGGCCTGAATTCGCTCCTCAGAACCTAGATGGTAGGAGAGCACTCCATGCCAATGGAGATGCAGTTGCAGGAGGTTGTGCACTGCCTATGTGTGCTGGGGACAGAGCATGGGCTCTGCAATAGCACTGCATGCTATTAACTGTTGAGCCACCTATCCAAGACCTCATTAGGTATTAAACAGAGAAAGAACAAAAATGACTTACTTTCATGCACATGCTTAAATAGCCAAGCTTAGAAAGGGCCAATGACAGAGAATGCTGTCCTATAATAAACATCTGTGACATAACCAGTCAGAAAGAGAGCAGGAAAATAAACAGGAATGCAGGACTGGAGGATGGCCCAGTGGATAAGAGCAAATGCTGCTCCTCTTCAAGACCCAAATTTAGTTCACAGCATCCATGTGCAGCTAGCTCAACAGCCACCTGTAACTCCAGCTCTGAGGAATGTGACACCCTCTTCTGGCCTCAGTGGGCACCCACACATTGCATACATCCACGCACACACATATGCATGTGCGCACACACGCATACACAAAATAAAATTTCCTTAAAAAGAGAGAAAAGGAACATTTATCCAGGAGTATCTACAGAAAATTGGTACACGTTTTAGTCAAGCAAAGAAAATAAGTAATTATATTATACTTAAGGCCCTTGATTTGAGAGACATTTAACTTGGCCTCTTATTTCCAGGGAAAGAACACCGAAGAAAAGCAAGACCTAAAATCCAACCAAAAGATTCTCTGACTTTAATACCTCCTGTAACTAACCTCAAGGGGCTCTTCAGAACAGCAAAAAAGACCAACGTTTCCCATAACACTTTCTCTTTTTCATCTGGAATTTCATCCGATATCATAACTGTATCAAGACCAAGAATAGTGTATTTGAACATGCTTGGGAAACATGAGCAAAAATCCAGCCCAGAGCTCTCAGAAAGCTAATAATTTAAAAAAAAATCATTTGAACATGAAATGATTCTTGAGTGGTCTTTCAGGGGATGGAGTCTGTGTTGTTTGAATGGAGGTTCTTTAATACTGAACAGATCTCTCCAGTGTTTCACATGAAATTTAACATCAGGTTAGAGTTATTGATTCAAAAAATAAGTAGAATTTCTGTATATAATGCCTGCACTTATACCTATAGGATTTATCAACTGTCATGAGTATATGTATGTGTGTGTGTGTGTGTGTGTGTGTGTGTGTGTGTGTGTATGTGTATCTATATGTCTCAAGGGATAGAAACATTTTTGAGTTGGTATGCTGAGCTAAAGAATTCACGGCCTATGAAGCCTGAAATGTATAATGTCTAAATACTCAGTGTAACATCTGTAATCACTGCCCATGTGGCACATAAGGGACTATGATTAGATGTGTGGCCACTAGAGTTGTCCCATTATCAACACAAAGTGCCTACACTCTGCATCTGGAAAGAACATTCTTTTGGCTGAGAACTATATGAGGCCTTTGGTCAAAGGTTCCATATAGCCGGGCGTTGGTGGCGCACGCCTTTAATCCCAGCACTCGGGAGACAGAGGCAGGCGGATCTCTGTGAGTTCAAGGCCAGCCTGGTCTACAAGAGCTAGTTCCAGGACAGGCTCCAAAGCCACAGAAAAACCCTGTCTCGAAAAACCAAAAAAAAAAAAAAAATGGGTGCAAGCTTTATCAACTGCTCTGAATTGCTAATTTCTGGTGGATTATAATATAGGAAATGTAGAGGAAAATATATGTTTAATATTAGAAAGAAATGAATCAGCTAGGTGGTGGTGGTGCACACCTTTGATCCCAGCACTTGGGAGGTAGAGGCAGGCGTGAGATAGAAGCCAGCCTGATCTACAAAGTGAGAGTTCCAGGACAGCCAAAGCTACATGGAGATACCCTGTCTTTAAAAGACAAAAAAAAAAAAGTGAATCAAATGACAAGATACTGTCACTCTCTCGATGTCATTAGGGTCACTCCTGAAGTTATTAAGTCTCTGAACATGAGGGACCTCCAGGAGGGCTCAAGATATTTTACATACAACCATAGGTACTTCCTGAGAAACTTAGCTTAACCAAACTATCCTACCATCCTGGCAACTTACAATATTTTTCCTGAAGAATCACTGTCAACCTTTTTTAAAAAATATTTATTTTGGTGAAAATAATTTTAATACAATAGTCTAATCATCGTTTCCCCTCTCTCCACTCCTCCCAGATCTTCCCAACCCACTCACCTGCACACTCTTTCTTTTCTCTTTAGAAAACAGATAGGCAAATAACAACAAAAACTCCAAATAAATCAGAATTTTTTAAAAAAAAACACCACACACAAACCCCATAAAAATACAAAATTGGAACCTCAATATACAAGCAAAAGACAGTAACAAACAAACAAAAACTGCCCAAACAAAGCAACATGAGACAAAAAGTCTACAAAAATACCATTGAGTTTATTTTGTGTTGTCCATCTATTGCTGGGCATGGAGCCTATCCTCAAGTGTGGATAATACAACCAGTTAGATGCCATTGGAGAAAACTAATTTTTCCTTTGCAAGTGGATTATCAGTTGGAGATAGCTTCTTGGTTAGGGATGTGAGCTCATTTCCACTTCCCCTCTCAGTACTGGGACCCATATGGCTTGAACCTGTGGAGGCCCTGTGCATGCTGCCACATCTGAGTTCAGAAAAGGATGCTGGATCCACTGGAACTGGAGTTATGCACGCTTGAGAGCTGCAAGAACAAGAAGTGCTCTTAACCACTGAGCCATTTCCGCAGCCCTAGTAGCAATGTACTTACAGCCCCAAACAGTATGTAGTTATTTCAGACAGAAAAAAAAAATGACAAATTTACAGTATCTGCAATACCAAGTTTCAGAAAAAAAATTATCCAAAACAAACCCTTCTCATCTTACTTATTTTCATCTAATAAATACAATTTTAAAAATAATAGGTATGAAAGTATGTGGCCCAATTAGAAAATATTAAAAGCATATAGCCTTCTTCTGAGCATGACACCTAAAAACTTAACTAGTAATCCATATTCTTTTGGTCAAGTTTTGTCATAACTCAGGGAGGGGTCTGTGGTTAAATACAGCTGAGATCTGGTTTGACTTTAAAACTGCTCTCATTGAAGTAGTAGTCAAAAACTAGCTTCTCCTCTCCTGAGAAAGGGGGAAACAATTTAGGATCCATAATAGGGGGCCAGGAATCAAAAGAATCACTGTATTTCTCCCAAGAATACATTTTTTCCACCCGCCAACATCAGCAAACCCTTCATCCTTTGATTTCACTGGGTTTGATAATAAAAACGCATTCTCTTTTGCTAAACTATAACATGCAGTTATTATCTTTCAGATGAAAAGATGTAAGAAAAAAAAATTTCAGAGAGTCTTGGGCCTGGGGAGAAAACTCATGCCTTGCAAGCATGGTTCCAAGTTCAATACCCAGAAAGTATGTAGAACTGCCAGGCATGGCAGTGTAAACATGTAACCCCAGTGCCGGGGTTGGGGGATAGAGGTTTGCTGAGGCTTCCTGGGCAGTCTCTTCTAGTCTAATTGGTGAAGCCCCAAACCAAGGAGAGAAGCCTGGTCTCAAAGGAGATTGACAGCATTCCTGAGTGTAACACCTGAATTGTGAATGACTCCTTGCTAAGATGCACACTCATGTGCCCCCCCCCAGGAATATGCATACACATGTGCGTAATAAAAGTCTTGAAGCCTAATGAACATGTTTATATAATTTGATACCAAAAACTTAAAACTTAATTATATTACCTGTAGAGAGCTTTAAGAATCACAATCAAATTGTATTTTTAATTGTGGTACTTTTATGGCAGCTTCTGCGACTTCTTTGGATATGTCTACTCCAAGAGGACATCTGCATAAAAATGAGAGGCCACAGTACAATATACTTGCTTCACAACCTATCTGACTTGTGCATATTATTGGCTTGGAGTCTGGACAATAGTGGAAGTAATGGAGAGTTGGCATAGGTGATGCTGACTCTTATATACAAACCAGGACATGTGCATGACACTACCTCATTCATAAGACACTTTAATTTTGAGGTAACCCTGTTTGCAATTTCTACTGCTCCAAAGTACTGTAAATTAGTAAGTTTAAAACAAAATGAAGGCTGGGGATATAGAGTTCAGTGGTTCCATAGTAGAGTGTCTGGTTAAGCACACACAAAACCTTCAATTCTGCAAACTATTAAGCAAACAACAACAAAAAAAAGCAAATGGAAAAATAACCCTTAAAAGGAACCACAAAAAACAACAAAAGATGCCATAGTCTATAATCTTTTACAAAGGTAAAAATGTAAATAGCATTTTAACACAAAGTCAAGCCTACATTTGTTTCTGTTTGCAGTTCCCTAGGTTTCCATGACTTCTCAGAGTTCACAAGTTGATCTGTCCTTGCCTTGCTTTTCTAGACTGAAGAGCTTCACCTCTCACTCTCACATTTTATCTATTCTTCCTCAGTAAGTAAAGTGAAAGCTCAAATTGCTGCTTTGCTATGATACTGCCCAAGGTAAGACTCTGACCTGACCCCAGCTGGATAAAGCCATCCTCGACACTGTCCAGCCTCAACTCTGCCATCAGGGGCACAACTGGACCAGCAGGATCATCTGATGAGCATCAATGTCAGTGATTCTTTCTGACACTACCCTAACCTCTGGCTATCCACAATCGACATCAACAATCTGCACAACAATCACAACTCTCTGGTGATGAGAAGTTCAAAATATCAGAAGAAATAATGTTCAAACATAACTATGTCAGGTTATGAAACATAGTTGTCCTAAATTCCATGACTGACTTGAACAGAACTTGATAGCAAATTAAACTGAAGAACTATGGTTTGAGAGAGGACACAGGGCTTACAGATGCCTTCTAGTTTATTCCTGTAGGAGCACAGTTATATCTGAATGGTATCTTTGTGTTTCCCTTAACTTTGTTAATACATTAACCATCCTTAGATAAGGCTACACATTACCAAAGTACAGCTCAGCTCATGGAGATAGTTTCTTTTATGTTATTAAAATATTTTATGTGTATGTGTGTGTACCTGAGTACATGTATGTATACCAAATGCATTCAGGAGTCCATGGAGGTCAGGGTGTTGGATCCCCTAGAACTAGAGTTACAGTAGCTGTTAGCTCCGTGTGGGTACTGGAAGCAGAACCCAGGTCCTCTGTAAAAGCAGTGAGCACTAACTACCAAGCCATCGCTCTAGCCCTGAAATGTGTTCATAGAGTTACAGTAGCTGTTAGCTCTGTGTGGGTACTGGAAGCAGAACCCAGGTCCTCTGTAAGAGCAGTGAGCACTAACTACCAAGCCATCGCTCTAGCCCTGAAATGTGTTCTTTTCTGTAAGAAATAAGTCAATGTCTCACCATTATTCATGGCCTAAAGAAATGGGCCTTGGGTCATATATGGCTTGCTCAAATTTTTATAGTTTTTGGTTTTTTGTCACTGAGCCACTCAGCTCTTAAGAAACCATTATTTCTAATACTCATTTTTAATATTCCATCTTGCAAGTTGCCAAATTTAGACATTTCCTTAAGTTTATAATTTTCAAAGATCTAAGACCCATTAAATAGGAAGATTATCAAGTCTTGTAAGCACATTTAAAGAGATTTCATTAAAAGATGGAGGATAGCAGCCTACTTTTTTCAAAATAGTAACCACAATGTTGTTATGGTTTCTTTATGGTAAACCCTCTTAAAGTTCAAAGAGAAAATGTAGCCTGGGATTTTTTTATACACAGGCTATATATATGCTCCATAAAGATGTTATGTCTACCTTGATTACAGCTATACATTGCTTTTATTCTGTATTATTTTACATTGTCCAGCATGAGACACAAGGACCTACTCATCTAAATACAAAGTCAACTAGATTCCTGAGGGGTAAAAACATGCTAATAAAGACCCATTAAATAGGAAGATTATCAAGTTTTGTAAGCACATTTAAAGAGATTTCATTAAAAGATGGAGGATAGCAGCCTACTTTTTTCAAAATAGTAACCACAATGTTGTTATGGTTTCTTTATGGTAAACCCTCTTAAAGTTCAAAGAGAAAATGTAGCCTGGGATTTTTTTATACACAGGCTATATATATGCTCCATAAAGATGTTATGTCTACCTTGATTACAGCTATACATTGCTTTTATTCTGTATTATTTTACATTGTCCAGCATGAGACACAAGGACCTACTCATCTAAATACAAAGTCAACTAGATTCCTGAGGGGTAAAAACATGCTGGAAAGTGTACCATTACTAGCAGGTAATGCTAATAATAATTAGCTTACTAATACTGCATCAGCTGGAGATAACAAATTTTTCTGCTTGCAGAACAGAATGGCACGATGTGTTCTTTTCGCAAGGTGGCACGCTGTTGTATGCTGCACCGCAGCAGCAATGTCTGCAGCTGAAGACAGGATTTGTCCCTTCTCAACACCTTCTTCTTTCTCCTTGTGCTTTATCAGCCTATCGATAACATGCTGAAGTCCCGTAAAAGAAAAATCGCAATTCTTAACATTCTGCATGGGAGGATTGATAGTAAAATGGAATCTATTTCCTTGTTTGGCCAAATGTTCTATAGCCTTCCCACCACTCATCGTAGAACATTCTGGATGTTTGATTAAAGAAAGTCTTCTTGCCACCTATTAAAAACAAACATTCAAAAAAATTTCATACAATATATTTTGATCAAAAAATTAATTAAGAAAAAGATTACCCACTATGACCAATTTAGCTTTCTCCAGAGATAAAGGGATGATTCAAATATGTGAGTCAATACATGTAATAAGTGACATTAAAAACATATTCTTTTTTTTTTTAAATTGAGTGGGCCCATTTTTTATTTATTTATTTATTTATTTATTTACTTATTTATTTATTATGTATACAACATTCTGCTTCCATGTATATCTGCACACCAGAAGAGGGCACCAGATCTCCTAATGGATGGTTGTGAGCCACCATGTGGTTGCTGAGAATTGAACTCAGGACCTCTGGAAGAGCAGTCAGTGCTCTTAACCTCTGAGCCATCTCTCCAGCCCCTTAAAAACATATTCTTAAATGAGGCCAAAAACAAAAACGAAAAAATCTGCTGTGATGTTAGCAATTATGCAATCGATTCTGAATTCCTAACAAAAATGAAAAAATCTGCTGTGATGTTAGCAATTATGCAATCGATTCTGAATTCCTTGTTAATCTTTACTTTTCTCTCACAGGATCTCACTATATAGGCCCAGTTGGTCTGGAACTCACTATGTAGACCAAGCAGACCTTGAACTCAGTGAACTACCTGCCTCTACCTCCCAAGTGCTGGGATTAAAGGTGTGTGCCTCAATGCCCTGTTACTAATCTCTGTATGTCATTACAATTTTACAGCATGGCACAGTGCTATAGTTTCCCAAAAACTTTCACAAGAATATTTGACTAAATATATAGCAATACCTGCAAAGTATTTGACCTTTCATATATTATTCTTACCATTTTATTCAATGGTTAAAAGTTACAAAATTGAGATGGACATAGTGGTAACCCACACCTGTATGCCAGCACACAGAAGGCTGAAGCAGGAGAAGCAGTATTAGTTTTGCCTTCAGCATGGGTTACAGAATGGAACCTTATCTAAAAGAACAAAATAAAAGTTATTACAACTCTTCATTTTTTTTTTTTCTTCTCTATGTAGTCTTGGCTATCCTGGAGCTCATTATGTAGACCGGGCTGGCCTCGAACTCACAGAGATCCACATGTCTCTGCCTCCCAAGTGCTAGGTTTAAAAGTGTGCATCACCGTGACAGGCCACAACTCTTGATTTTTGAACCTTACTGCATGGCCCAGGACTGCCTCAAACTCATTAAATAGCCAAGGTTGGCCTTGATTTTTATCTACCCTGCTACCTCCACCTAGCCTTTTGCAGTAGTTTTTAAAGTTCTTCAGTCTAATGAAGCATTGCTCAGAATTACCTAGATGAACAGTTTGTATACTACTATTTAATTGAAAGAACCAACAGAAGTGACTTTTGAGACAGTACCTTGTCGAGCATGTCACCTGGTGCTATGTCCAAAGACTTCCCAAGAAGCAGAAAATCTGAAACACCTCGGACTAACGCCAAGAGACAGTGACCTCCAGAAATCAAAAGAACTAAAAAGGGAAACTCTACTTTATTGGTCAGCCTAATAGTAAGAGCGTGTGCCTCCATATGATGAATAGGAATGAATGGCTTTTTAAACTGATTTACTAGCTGTAAGCTAAATGATAAGCCTACACCTAAGCTTAGAGCCAGTCCTGGTTTGACGGTAGTTGCAATCGCTGAGAGATCACGTGGAGAGATGCTGCTGGCAGAAAGAGTTTCTTCTACTATTCGTTGAATATTTTCTCTGTGAAGCTGTTGAGCTACTGGAGGAACAATCCCACCTGTTCTGAAAAGCAAAACAAAAAGATAGTCTTTAAGAAAAATTAGGAAAGAAGGAAAACATGTTATGTCTGAAGGCATCATTACAAATGAACCACTGTATGCCATGCATGCTAACACTGTGTGCTTTACAATGTAAGACTGACAAGAGTTCAATATTGTTGCTGACTTTTCATGCTGTGTTCAAAACCCCTATAGTTGATTTCTGATAAGTGAGGTCATCACAACAATCTCATAAAGCATTCCAAAGAGATCATGAACGAAAGAAGAGCAGGCTAAACTGCATTTAGCTCTAACTAATCTCCTCAAGTAGAGAATTTTAGAAATCAATCCAAGAGTTATTTGTCTAAAGTAACATATTAAACTGGATACAAGAATATGAGGGGCCCAGGCATCAAAGATGACTCCTATTTGCTAGGAATGACTGGGAGAAAAAAATATCAACAGTGAGAAATATGAAGACAGTTTTGTGAAGGTGAGTTTATTTTTAAATGCATTGCACTTGAGGTCAGACCAGGACAAGAGATAGCTTGCAGTCCTAAAATAAAGTTTGGGAATCTAGCTCGGAGTTAGCAGTGGAGATCTCTTGTCTGTGTGGGACACTGAGTTAAGAATTAGCAAGAAGGGTTGGGAATGCAGCTCCAGGGTAAAGCACCTTTCTAATATACTCAGGGATTCAGTTTCCAGCATGGGAAAAACAATGGATAAAATGTGGCTGGCAGCAGATACAGTAATCCGTAACAGGTTTATAGTCTGGGAAGCAATTTCACAGGTCTGTAAAACTCACTTCTGGTCTCACAATATCATTTTAAAATACTTGACATTGCAAGACCATGTGGGATGGTTTCTATATACAGAAAATAAAATCGTCACAATATTCAATGAATATTTAGTTATACTATTTATCTACATAATTTATATATTCTATATTTTACATATATATACATATATATATATATATATATATGGGAATGAAGATGTAAGAAAATCAACAGGTGCATTTTGTAATAAAATTTTGAAAAACTTATTTAAATATACTTATTTGATATTCCTATTTTCTATTAGTAGCAAAAGTACTCTTAGAATCATTTGAGTTTCTAGGCTCGTTTGTAAAAAGCCTAATATTTACTTTATATTTTTAGATTACTTTTTTTTTCTTTAGTACATGTGGAGGAGGTCAGAAGACAACCTGCAGGAGTCAGTGCAGGGACTGAACTCAGGTTCTCAGGGGCCTTTCCTCACAGTGTGTCTCACGGTCCCATCAACATTCATTTTGACCTTTGTCTCCACACTTAATGTTTAGTTCAGTAACCACACTGACACCACCAAATTCCAAGCCGCTCTACTTTTCTAGCTCAGTCTTCTAATGCTTGGAGACCACTGCAGATTGTGATTCCAGAAAACACTAGAAAGCAATCTGTTGTTGACTGCTATTTTTCAACTCGAAATATTTACTTGATTGGAATTTGAGAGAGTTTGAATTCAAGTCCTTTCCTCCTACTCACTTTTTCCTTGTGTCTTATATCCATTCCAAGCCTTCTTTGACATTGTATGTTTTAGAAATCATGCTAAACAAGACAAACAATGAGTAAAAACTATGGCCTTATTCTCAATTAATGACTACACATTTTCTAGTCATATTTTAATTTGTATAGAAAATGCAAATGGCTAATGAAGAAAGTGACAGAGATAAGGAAAACATTTAAATTTGGAGTCAAGGCAAGGGACAATAGAGGATTCAATTAAGTTAGTGAAAACAGAAAGAACTACCCCAGGGCGCACCGCATTTGAGGGTTATGTTTACTACCACTGCGTGACTGATTTGGATGTGAATGGTGAGGAAGGGAAGGAGGTCTGGAAGAAGGGCATATGATGAGGAAGCAGTGCTTTTATTATCACACTTCCCGTTACTTTGCAGACCTGTTCACTATCGATATTGAGAGTAACAGAGGTGTGGTTAGTAATGGCTAGATTTTACTGATTCTTTCATACTTGTCAAAAACTGCAGCAGGTGCTCTAAAAGAACTCACATTCATTTACATTTAATGCAATGCCATCATGATAGATTTTATAGACAAGAAAGCTGAAATATGCATGGTCTCAATGCACAGTGCTAAACCAGAATATAAAAACTACACTTCACCCTGAGGCAGGCAAGCATAGCAGACAGATACCTTGGGGTATCCACTTGGTTTTGGATTATGCACACACCCTCCCTTGTAATACGCATTTGGCAGCCTGGTTACTTTACCCATACCCACTATGTACACACACCCCTCTACAAATGATGCACTTAGCAACCTCTCTCCCCAACCTGCATGGGGCTATATGTACTCCTTGTCTCTGAACAATGGTAGACATATCCCTGACCCTGTAACAATCAAATTTAGAGTGTTTATTCAAATGTATTTCCAACATCCCAGAATAAGAAGAATAGAAAGGCTGACTCTTCTACTTATTGTCTATTGGGCATGCATGTGATTAAAACAGATGCATAAGGAAGGTGACATACACAATAGGAAAAATGAGAATATGATCTAAGCTAGCAAACAAGATAAAGAAGCACCCAAATTCTGTCCCTGAGTAAACAACACCTCCTTTGAACTCCATGAAAGTAGTCCTGAACAAGAGTCAGGGCCTGAGTACTCTTAATCACATGACCTGCTACCAATCTTGACAGTGTATCCATTTACGACCAGCAATATTATTCTGATTCTTTTGTAAATCTGTGTGACCCCTTTTACATTTTTTGGACAAGAGGCCAAGAACCTGGAAATACCCAATCCTGGCCCCAACACTAGTAGCAAATCCATTTGATATGGTGGGTTATTCAAGCAAAGATCATATATATCCCATTCATATTAGGACTCACGGTGTCCCAGGTATTGCCTAGCAATAGTAGGTTTTCAATTCATGCTAAGGTGAGCTATATGGATGTCAAGTGACCACTCAACAGGCAATCGGGCTAAGGTTTTCTTTATTCAGATACAGGGTTATGTTTACTACCACTGCGTGACTGATTTGGATGTGAATGGTGAGGAGAGAGAATGTCCACGTGTTATGAATAGGCAAACAAATGTATAAATTGTAAAAAAGGATTAGAAATAATATCTGCAGGATATAGTGATACACAGTAAACCTAATTTAGATGACGTGCTCAGAGTAGCCTTTTCACTGAAGGTAAAATTCAGAAGTTCGGCACATTAAGAAAAAAGAAACCAAGATGTCCACTAAATAGTAATTATTGGTTGATATTAACTCTGTGCTGCCATACACTGGTAGGTCTCTGCAGGTCTGTGTGCATCGTATGATGAAGGGCCTTTCAGTTCATTTCCCACTGTGTGTGTTTGAGGCTTTATTTTCTCCATAAATTATTTCCAGTTCACTAAGGAAGCTGCTATTTTTGTTTATTGATATGAAAAAGAAATCAAAGTGATAAAGAACTTGCCTAATATTAATGAGAAAATACTAAGTCAGATCAGACTTTTTTTATTCTTCAAAAGCTGGAAACTGTTAACTTACAGGTGTATTCCTATGTGTTTTGAATTAGCCAATAATTTTTTTAGAAAAATCTAGAGAGTGCATTTACAATGTGGACTTTCACTTTCTTTTAAAAAATCTGAAAAAAAAAAAGAAAAATCTGATACTTCAGTCTTACATTCTTGAGTGACAATTGGTTAAAGCTAGGTATAGTTTACACTTTATCTCTAGTCCTGTGGTCCCACTGCAAACAGCTGAGTTTATAAACCTAAACTTTTTTGTCTGTTTGTTTTTCGAAACAGGGTTTCTCTGGACTGCTTTGGAGCCTGTCCTGGCACTCACTCTGTAGACCAAGCTGGCCTTGAACTCCAGAGATCCCCCTGCCTCTGCCTCCCGAGTGCTGGGATTAAAGACGTGAGCCACAAATGCCCAGTTTAAACCTGAGCTTTCATACAACAATGTTCTAAGAACTGATGAGAATTATATGTGTAAGTGTGAACATTTTTTTTTACTCCGAACCCTCAAGTGATGATTTCTTGGGACTGCTGTTGAGGTCACAAAACACACAAGCAGGAAAAAAGGCACACTGAGAGAAAAGTCACTGAAAGTAAGTTCTGGGAATAACCTTGTTTCTTTTTGCCATCAGGACTTGCAAAAGTTGAGATCCTACCGTGGACTGTGGAGGGCCCTAAAAGCCAGGAGGAAGTATGAGATGTTTCTACAGCAGGTTTTTTATTTGTTAGTTTAGAGACAAAGTCTGACTAAGCAGCACTGGCTGGCCTGGAACTCACATCCACCTGACTCTGCTGCAGAAGTGTTGGTATTAAAGGCCTACACCACAAGGCATGGCTATATAGAATGGTACTTAATGGTTGTACACAATAGGATAAGAATTTAACTACTAAAATTTGGCTTTTGTACATGATAAATGCCAAAGAATTGTTTCAGTTTGCTTTTCCAAAAAACAAAACAAAACAAAACAAATAAATAAATAAAACAAAACAAACAAAAAGACCAGAAAACCAGGAATGGCCAAAATAGTTTCTACTTACTTTAAATGAACTTCGGTCTGGGAATGCATTGCTTCTCCCAACACATGTCCAGCGTCATCCACCACAGCAGCTGCTGTATCATCACAGCTGGTTTCAATTCCCAGTACCAGTTTATGAGGAAAAAGTGTTCCAGGGCCAACACTAGAACTTCTTAAAAATCCATGAACGTTACTCTTCGGTGATCTGGGGAAAACTCCTGCTATCTTACTTAATATTAGCATACTTACTACTCTACAAATAATTCCTAGAAAAGAATTACAGAAATATTATTTGGAATTGTCATTTGCAGTTAATTTCATTTACTTAAAATAATGAATATTCATTTTTAAGTATGCAGTCTTAGAAAATTATAAAAAACATTAGTAAAAGTTATCAAAATCTTATAAAGGCCCTATAAACCATTGACTATAAAAAATTCGATTTTACTGAAGTGAGAAACATACAAAATCACTAATATTCCAAGTTGAGCATCTCTAAAGTGAAAATCTAAACCATTCTACTCACTAGACTTGCTAATGGAAACATAAGGAACACTAAAAATATTATAGCTATATTTACAGGATGCAAATAAAACATGAATTTCACGTTTAGCCTTGGGTCTCATCCTCAGATAGGTCATCCTCATGCGTATGACACATGCAAATATATATACATATAATACAAATTTGAAACTTTTGGTTCAGGTTTTTTGGGTAAACAATGCCAAATATATATATATATATACATATATATATATATATACATATATATATAATACAAATTTGAAACTTTTGGTTCAGGTTTTTTGGGTAAACAATGTTTAACTTAAACGTTATACAACAGCTAATGTTACAATGCAATGGTTATGTGAATAGTCCTATTTAAAACGAAGTTAAAATTTTAAAAACTAACAGCAACTAAGAACAGATAAAAATGAAGCGCCCCCCCCGCCCCCCGTTTCCTGGGTCTCCTCTCCAAAACAGTATACAGCACATGGTTCAGTTTATTAAAATATACGCCCACCATTCAAGATTTAATTTTGTAGTTTGGAAACAACTCCTCCCATAAATCTCATTCTAAAAGAAACACGTCTCGGCTAAAACAAGTGCAGACACTTATCCGATGTTTGGAATCACAGCTCCATTTTTGTAATTGGTTTATCACCCCAAGCTTCTTTCGAAATCCTTCTCCCCACTCCACCCCAAAGACAGCAATCCATCACTAAACGTAACACCCTAACATTTGTATATTGCAAAGCATGTGTGGAATGGGCAAAACTGGGGTTAGAAACAAAAGCGGACTTCTCAACTGGGAAAGCGGACCTGCAGGGACGGGACGGAGTGAACTATTCGCAGATTCGAGTCCCACAGATGGAGCTCCCACAGCTACTTCCGACGAATTAGATTTCCTCAATTTGGGCAACACAGCTGGAAGCAGCTGGCTGAGAAGCGTTGGAGTCCCTGGCGGCGGAGCTGGAGAAGAGCCCCGACTAGACCTGCTTTTAAAAGCCTAGGAGCTGAGATCTCTGCATTATCATCTACCTTAGGAAACTGCGGCCGTCGGCTCGGAGCTCCCGCGCCTACAAGTGACGTCACCGGGCAGCGCCACAGTTTTTGGGTCCGCAGGCCTTCCCGTGGCTCCAGAGCCGCTTAGTAAATAAAGGCCTACTAAGGAGCTATTGAATCTTCCAGCTTGCCTCTGGCGTTCCTCCCAGGTTTGTGAGCATCACGACTTCTACAGGGTCACACTGACATGGAGTCCGGATTGAGTTCTGGTTGCACTGAGCTACATTTTAGGGAAGGGTCCTGCTTTAGGTTAGCTTTGCTGCCACCACGAGAAAAAGGATAGTGTACATACATCCTCACCCAATTTTAGGGAAAATGTCTTCAGGCTTACAGGTAGTGACCTGAGAAACCTTTCACTTTCATGGGGAAAGTGAATTTTTCATCAGAAATCAGAACACCAGCAAAAATAGCACTGCGTTCCCAGAGAATGGAAATGTTTCTGTCTGTACAGCCTAAACCCCCACTCCCACTTTCCATTCCAAGTGAAACACCTGTGACTGGCTCATTCTGTTATCACAGTCAAATAAGTTGTAAACATTTTTAAAAAAATACTGTGCTGCATTCTAAAAGTCCCAGATTACTATGTACTCAACCTCTGTGTAGCATGTAATAAATTTGCATCTTGTTTTTATTGGCTTGGTTTGTGAACCTAATAAATTTGAATGGATGTATCCTAAATCTTTCCTCTCCCTGCCTAAGCTTTAAATCTGTAGCAAGCAAAGGCTTTGTAATGGAAGGTTGGGAAAATCTGGAATACACATCTTTGCTTTGCAGACAGTGAAGGTTAGAGTTTAAAAGAAAAGAAAAAGAAAAAATCTTATCACAGACCAGCAGACTGCTCTCTAGGGCTAGGGCAACCTTGATTCTGGAGCCTTTTTGCTTAAATGCCAAAATACAAACTCATTTGTCACCTTCAGATGAATCTAACAGAGTGCTACAATACTTATTCCTTAAGTGTGCTCCACTAGGATGTGTGTGCATGTATATGAAATATTATACATATATGTATGCTTCAGGTTCTTTCTATATTGTCCAAGCTGGCCCTTAGCTCCTGGATGTAAGCAGTTCTTTCTTCAGCCTTCATAGTAGTTGGGACTATAAACACCCAACTACCTGCCTGTAGACCTGCCTGAATTTCACTTTATCACACAATCATCAGGACTTTTCCATTGTGGAAGGTACTTTCTTAGTTGTGAGAACTAGAAAAGATCCACCTTCTCAAAGTCTATTAGAAAAAGACTAGTAATAGGCAATAGAAAGGTAGGGAAATGGAAATGCACACTAAGTAGAGAGGAACTTTGAGAAGGCTGAGTGATGTACAACCGATGTAGCCGTAGCCTGGCGGGATCATGACATAATTAGCTGGTTCTCAAATCTGATTCCTTTACAAGATTTGGATTAGAAGTGACTGCACCCTGGGTTACTGAGTTACGGATCACAAGTTGCTAGAGAACTACTGTTTAAAAGCCATTAGTACTAGTAATGCATTAACTTATGGAAAACAAAGATGCTGGAGCTAGGATAGTTGGGTCTGCTGGTCTCGAATCTTTGTGTTGAACAAACCACAGTGAAGTCAAATTCAGATTATATGCAGAAGATAAAGGCAGTAGAAATAAGAAACTTGTTGCTTCTCCCCTTGAGTCATATGTCTTTTGTAAATTTGTCATGTACTCTATGACCTTTCCTGTGGTGATATCTTGCTTGTACAAATAAAGCCTGTCTGAATATCAGAGAATAGAGCTTGCTACTAGCCAACCATGGAGGTGTGGAGGTCACAACAGACAGACAGGAAGTCAGATGGTTGGGCAGATACAGGAAGTGAGATGACTTGGCACAGAGAAGAAGTGAGATGGCTGGGAGAAGTGGGGATATAAGCTGAAAGAAACAGGAACTTGCTGTCTTGTCAGCTGAGATGGTAAGGAGGTAAGGTGTGGCTGGGGCTTGCTCCTTCTCTCTGATCTATCAGCATTTTCCTGTATATCTAACTCCAGGTTTTTATTATCTAGGCCAATTAAGAACTCAATTTACATTTTCTCCTGTTGGGCCCAAAAGGGGGACCAACTTTGGGAGACACACCCCACAGAGTCACTCACAGGACCCAGGTTCAATGCAAAAGCAAAAGGATTTTATTCCAATGCATTGGGGTCTCTCTCTGAGAGACCTTATATCTTTTTGGTAACTAGGCAGGAGTATAATAACATATTGGCTATAACATACATGAGTCATTTACTGATTGGTTGGGAACTGAACTTATAATTTTGCCCACCAGGGGTTTGGAATGTTATTTTGGTTTTTACACCTGCAAGGCCATGGGACAGCTAGTGGTTTTTCCGGGAACAGAGTGACTTATACTTATTGTTGAAGATAATAACATTCCTTGGAAACTAGTAGTAATAACAATTTCCAGAGACTGGTCATCATGACTGACCATCTCATGTGTTCTTTTTTCCAGAGCTGTGTGTGTGGCCAGAGTGATTTTCAAATACATGCTGATGGGTATGAGGCTAGGCTTGAGTTGGGGTCTTTCATTCCTTTCCAGGTTTTGTTACTAAGAAGTACCATCTTTGATGTGAAAAGAAAATCCTCCTACTCAAGGCAGTACTCAGTCTGGTCTCATTTTGGGAACATTTTTTTTCATATATTTTGTTTGCTAAGATAATGCTTATTTTACAACTCGTTCTTCAGACTATCTCTTGTGTCAAAAGATTTGTAGCATACATAGCTTATCATTTTAATCATTTTAAAATGAAGACGTCTAAAGAACACTCCCATTGTTCTATATTCACTTCCATTGACCTCCAAATTTTATCTTCCCAATAAAATTTTGTATCTATTAAACCGTAATACTTTAATCTTGGCAACAACTATTCTCTTTTGTGTCTTTATGAATGCAAGTAGAAATCCCAACTACAAGTACTTTACTGAACAAATAAATTCTAAGATGACTCTCATGATCCACACCTTACAGTATGCATGCTGTTATGAGATACCTCTTCCATGTATCTGCTGATTTATTGACTGACTTCCAATAAACAGAATACAATGAAGAGATAGACTATCACTTGTAAACTAACTTTATATATACAAAAAAAACCCCACGACTTTTACCTTGACTCTTAGATCTCTTGCCCTGAGAGAACATAGCTGCTATGTTATACTATAAAACAGATGTGACAAGAGGGCCATGTGGCAAATAAACCAGGTGTAGTAGTGTAGCTTTTAATCCCAGCACCTGGGAAGCAAAAGCAGGCAGATCTCGTGAGATTGAGGCCAGCCTGGTCTATTTAGAGTCCGGGACCAAGAAGGACTACATAGAGAGATCTTGCCTCAAAAAGAACTAAAACAAACAAGAAACAAGTTATGTCCATGGAACAGCCAACTTCTCAATGCTTCCTAGCTAATGCTTTGCATGAAACCCCAATCATGGCCAACAAATTACAGCTTCAGGAGACAGTCACAACTATAAGCATCCATCAACATCACAACCTACGTTCTTAGGAGACAGTTATGGAACATATTATTTTAAACCAAGGGCTTTTGGGATAATTTACATGTAACAGGTAAATACTACTCTACTGTGAATTTAAGTTAAATAATAATAAAAAACTAGATGTTTTGAAGCAACATTACAAAATGAAGGAAGATAGGAAAAACCCAACAAATGGAAAAAACATTAAATAAAAAGAGAAATGTTTCAACCTTAATAATCACAGTGCTTAAATCTCTAACTTTGTAATTGCCTGTTAGCTACCTGCCAGTGCACAATATGAATTAGATGTACCTAGGTAAATATAAACATTTGGCTTGCTTTATAATGATATGGGGTAAAGGTCAATGATGTCAAGGGACTGGGAAAGAAGAAAAATGTTAATTATTCTTGGAAAACAAAGAGAAACGATTTAAAATGCTCATGCTTGAATGCATTAGAACTTGTATAAATAAAGAGGGCCTGAGCTAGTCTGGGCCATCAATTTGAAAGACAACTGATGGTCAGTCTTCTCATTTTTTGCCAACTTCACACATCCTTCCTGCCGCACAAGAACCCCGCTGGAGCTGGACTTAGGAAGCTATTATATGTAACTAAATTTAAAAATTATTTTAAAAAGATTTATTTTTATGTTTGCCTATACATGTACGTGTGTGTGTGTGTGTGTGTGTGTGTGTGTGTACATGTACATGTGCCTGGTGCCTTCAGAAGCCAGAAGAGGATGATGGATCCTCAGATCTGGAGTTGAAGGTTGTTGCCAGCTGCCATGTGGGTGGGAACTGAACCCGAGTCCTGCAGGTTAACCATTGAGTCATCTCTCCAGCTCCTAAAATAAACTTCTTTATGACTTGTCAGTAAATGCTTGATTTGCATACTTATTTTTATTTACCTATAACCCTGGAGTTGTCTAAAATTTCATGGGCAAAGAGAGGTCAGTTACAAGTGAAAACCTTGAAGAAGCCCTGCATAAATCATGTTCTTAAAGGTGTTCCTTTCACAGCTGGCCCCCAATGAATGTCCTATTAAGACAAACTGTGTTTTATTATTCCTGTCCTTCCACAGATTCATAGTGCACTCAGAACACAAGAAGCTCTGTGGCACTACTTCCTGAAGAATGCTCACCATCTTTGCCTCTACTGTTTTCATACAATCCTCCTCTTTAGAATTCTTTATTGCTTCAGTTATACAACAGCATTTGATCATACACTTCTGTCTTCTAGTAAAGCTATTATCACCCACCCCTTCAGAAATCTCCCTAAATGATCTCTTTTATGTGTTCACCTCTCTCAACTTCATACTGCACCCTGTTCATTTCACAGGACATAATCCAACTTTCAACAACACAGGAGCAAGTGGTATCTCCATTCAACTTGAAAATATATACCCAACAACAAACAGTGCTTGTTGAGTATTAACAATTTCTTTTTATAATGAATGATCCAACTTAGTATCAGCTCTAATTTTGATAAGGTATGTTTCTTTAGTAGCCATAAGTTTTCATGTGAGCCACAATACTACTGCAACAGGAAACTGTAGT